CCCCCCCCTCCCCCCCCCCCCCCCCCTGCTCTGGTCAAATTAAAATAAATTAATTAAATAAATAAAGTGAAATAAAATAATTCTTTAAAGAAAAAAAAGATGTGAATGTGGAAGATAGTGATATTAATGATCCTGACCCTGTGTAGACCTAGTCTAATGTGTGCATGTGTGTCTTAGTTTTTCACCAAGAAGTTTAAAAGTAAAATAATAATAAAAATAATTAATAATTTTTAAAATAAAAAAGCTTATAGAGTAGGATATAAGGAAAGAAATATTTTTGTACAGCTATACAATATATAAGTTCATGTAGCAACAGTGCAGAAGTCTACAGTAAAGTCCTAGGCCTTCACATTCACTTACCACTCCTTCACTGACTCAGCCAGAACAATTCCCAGTCTTGCATGCTCCACTCATGGCAAGTGCTCATGTGGAGAGGCCTGGAACTTGCAATAGCTGAGGTGTGGAGAAGTCAGGAAATCGCCAAGAGCCCAAGGCCGATAATTACTGGAATTTCCCCTTTCTCAGCAAATCCACTATCCCTCCCCACTTTGAGTGATTTAAGCAACCTGAGACCTTGAGAAGTTAGACATCCTGTTTATCTGCCACCTTTGCTTTTTCTTAGAGCAAGTCTCGAGCTCCTTTTTTCCTGATAGGATACCCTTAGACTGCTGAAGCCTCCCTCTCCCCCTAGCTCCCTCATAAAAGACTGTGCTTGGCTAGCTTCACTCAGCAGTAAATCTTCCATATTCTTCCATTTTCTGTTGAAAGTCAGGGTTTTGTTGTTATGAAGGAGAGACATTGTATGTCACCACTTAACATATACCAAGTGTCCACACTCTATGACTGAAACCAATTGACTAAAGGATATAGAAACACGATAAATGAATATGAAAATCAGATATAGTGTGTGTGAAAGAGTAGAGTCTGAGGAAGGACATTTAGAAGAAAAATAGAGAGACAAAGCATTAATACGATAAAGGAATGTGGTATTACCTGTTGAAGATAATTTTATAGTTTTATCAATTGGACTAGGGAGAAATGTTCACATGTTGAAATATTCAGCTTACTTTGCAAGCTAAATAATGTGATTGAATGTATAAAAGAAAATGAAATTAAAAAATTTAATTAATTCTGTCATTCATTTTATAAACTTCTTTCAAGATTCTCTGAAAGTTACCTAGTAAATAAAGTTGCATGATACTTGACAAAAATAAATAAATAAATAAAAGACTATGCTTAACTCCCCACAGGGGCTGGAGATTCAGAGTGTTAACTCCTCTGTTCCTGCTAACATAATAAAGAGTTCTCCTTTTCCTCTCTGGTGCTGTGTTTTTGTCACTCAGTGTCTGTTTTTCCACAACAGTATCCTACACAGATGTGCCATTTTTTTCATCTTTTATACTGTATTGTTACCACACCTTGTCTATATTCAGACGTTTATATGCACAAGTACCACCACTACACTTGCTCACATCATCAGCTCTGTAGCATGCTGTACAGGTTTGTCTCCTAGGAGCAATAGGCTACACCACTTCGCCTAGCGCAGCAAGGTGTCCCATCTCAGTTTGTGTAAATGCACTCTGTGATATTGACATAATGACAAAACTTCCTGGTGAGGTACTTCTCAGAACATATCCCATCTTTAAGTGATGGATGATTTTCTTTTGGTTCTATTGGACTCTGCTTCTCTGGGGAATCTTCAGGCACCATTTGAATTCAGGATCTTGCAAACCTTTTTTTAAAAAAACTAACTATAGTACATTTCTCATGATCAAGCTATCTCCTCTTATGTACTTAATGGAATTCTCTTTTTTTTTAGAATCATTTATTATCTTTTTAATTTGCTATAAGACACCTGTGTTCATCAGAGAGAGACAGCAAGAGAAAGAGGGAAAGTGAGAAAGCAAGCAACCAGGTCTCAGACATGAACCACAGTCAACCATGTGGGAGTCTAGCATCTCAAACACCATACCACCTGCTGACCCCACAGAGTTATCTTAATAAGGAAGACAAAATGATTATTTGAGAAGAACTAAACACTCTTGTTGAAAACAATTTGAAAAAATCGGGACCAGCAGTTAGCGTAATGGCTATCCCGCTGGACTCCCACGTAGTCGGCCGCTGTTTGAGTCCCAGACCTGGCGGCTTAAACTCACGCCGGGTGCACGTGTGTGTTTGCCCAAGATCCTGAGAGGAGAATGGAGGAGAAGGGATTGTGGCCTGGCCATCCCCCCTGGGGGGTGATTTCTCACTTTCTGCCTCTCTGGCGAGCGCACGCACCCTATAGCAAAAATCTCTCCAAAAAAAGAAGAAAAAAAAAAGAAAAAAATCATTCTCCACACATTAAAATATATGTGTGTATAGTAACTTATCCTTAATGCTTTAGTCACAACTATAATATGTTTATGGTATAAATTTATATGTGTTAAACTAGGAATTTAGAGTTTAGTTTGTAAAATCTTATCTTTAAATTCCTGGTATAATGAACATAATCATTTCTAATGTGAAGAGCTTAATATTTGCAAGTGAATGCAACATGAATCTCCATGCTAAGGTAAAAACAGTATAGTTCTTATATCCTATCACTCCAAAGCTTAAAAGCTATGAGTCAGTTTTTTAAAAATGGTGGGAAACAGCCTTATAAATTAGTATCCAATATGCCATTGTAGGATTCTTCAGTAATAAATATTAAATCACTTTTGCCATTTAGGGTTATAAATTGAATGCAATTATAGGAAATTGAAACATAATTATTCTCCCCCTCCAAGATTTGGCTACTTTTAAATATTTCCAACCATCAAAAGCACATGTAGACCATGAATGAATGGTTACATTTAGGAAAGGCAGGTTAGCATTTGCAAGAAACCATGTCAATCAATTTACAACTAAGGTTTATATAAAAATTGAAAATAATTTCTCTCTTACCTTGGGGTTCTCCTTGTCCACTCTCATCAAGCAGATTCATTAATCGATTATGGAGAACTTCATCATCACCTTGTCAGAGTTAAAAGAACATATGCATGGTAACTTTCTCATCAGCTAATTTATAGGCATGTAAATTTAATTACAAAAATAAATTATTAATCATTATGGTTATATAGTACATACTATGGGTCATAGACACAAATTCTACTCAATATGCCATCTTGTTCTGAAAAAGGAAAACGCTTTGAAATCAATGATAATTGGAGCAATGATTTTTAAATGTATATTGCAGAGCATGCATAATAAGATACATCTCCAATAAAAAGGATGTTATATTCAATGGATTATGACATCTATTACCCAAGAATCATTTTAGAACAAGCCATTATGGTTTGCCAAATCATAAATAGACTCTATAAGTGATCAAAATGAATGAGTGCTTCCATTAGCTACACTCTATATATCATGTTTTTACTACTGCTATATCAGAACTAACAAAGTTGGCTGGTCCTGAATTCTTTCACTTGTGGTGTTGCAATAGAGTAGCTAACAGAATTTCTTAGTTCTTTTGTGAATTTAAAGCAACAAGGTCATGCCGTTACCTGCCCTTGAACACATATACCCAGAGAAAAACATGGTCAATCATAAAAATATAGTTCTGGAAGAGAGTGTTAAAGATGTATATCTCCTGCTACTAGACAGAACCAGACATGAATGATCAAACTGGATGACTGCGACCAGTAGATGGCATAATGGTTAATACACTGTAGTTTGAGTCCTGTGCCCAGAGGTTTAAAACTCATGCCAGTGTGTGTGTGTGCATGCCCAAAATCCCAGAGGAGAAAGAAGAAGGGATTGTGATATGGCCATTCCTACTGGGTAGTAATTTCTGTCTTTCTGTCTCTCTGTCTCCCTCTTTCTCTCTGGCAAGCACACACATCCTATAGCAAAAATATCTCTCAAAAAAATAATTGGATGATCACCCTAGAATTAGAATTAGACCACACATGCATACATCAAACGTGTCCTCCTTCGCATGGGAGGCCACTAAACTAAACATGGCTGCACTCAATATGGTCCTTGTATTTCTTCTGCTTATCACTTTGCTACCTGTGCTGGGTCAATTCTGAGGATGATCATTAATTCTGCAACTCCTTTCTGAAATTCCACCAGGTACTCTAGAAGTTTCCTGAGTTCCTCATTCTCCAATTTTATTAACATTCCAGATCTCCCCTTCTGTTCATACATGAGATCCCTTGAACATGAGCTTCAGGGGGAAAACAATCCAATACTCAAGGACTTTGAATGACTAAACAGGCAAGTCTAGGCTACTGGACCAGATGGACTGTTTGCAAGTATAGCACAGAATGGTTGTTGCACTGCAGAGAACTTTTTCAAGTATCAGTTGATGTGTAAATATTAATTTCTTGCCAAGAGCCAGCACAGAGTGGCTGTCAACCCAACAGTCAGGGGAAAAGGCGAGAGGTTATTCCTCAAAAGCCTTTCACAGAGTACACATGCCAGCATTACCTGTATCATTGTAACTTCTACTGGAATATCTAGAAAACTAATAAAGTAGATGCAAGGAGACTTCAAAAAGGTTGTGGGAAAATGAACTTAATGTACAAGTTTATTTTGGTAGCAAAAATTTTAAAAGTTATACCACAATACATAATTTCTATGAACTTTTTTAAAGATCCCCTCATCTATAGCTCATGAAATACTCTTATTTGGAGGTTAGCACTGAGCAAGAAGAGATGCATAAATGGGGAATTTTCTGCAGAAGTTAAATCCCAGTAGGGTTAGAACAGAGGCACCACTTTCAGGAGGACTATTTTATACCACCAGCTTGGTATTAGCCAAATCTGATACCAAGATTTGATATCAACAATGCCATCCCAACAATGCCACTTATTTGCTTTATAAACTGGGGCAGTTTCTTACAGTCCCTGAGATTTAATGTCCTCTTCAATTTTTATTGTTTAATCGTGGTTTGTCCTCCAAAGATTCATGTTTTTTTTTTTTTTTTTGAAGAGATTTTTGGCTATAGGGTGTGTGCGCTCACCAGACATAGAGAAAGAGACAGAGAGACAGAAAGCGAGAAATCACCCCCAGGGGGGATGGCCTCGCCACAAATCCTTCTCCTCCATTTTCCTCTCGGGATCTTGGACACGCACACACATGCACCTGGTGTGGGTTTAAGCCACCAGGTCCGGGACTCAAAATGCATTTGACTACGTGGGAGTCCAGTGACATAGCCATTACACCATCTGCTGGCCCCAATCTTTGCACTATTCTTGAGCCCTTTTTTGTGAGAATTTATCTCACTCTTTCATTAAAAAGTACAAATTTAATATATCATGGTGGAATATGAGCCTCTGGATTGCAAAGGACTCTAGGTACCCTTTGTCACTGTCATGATATCATCCATAACCTTTGTCAACCCTATAGTGTTTTATAAACTATAAAATACACATGTTGGTATATACCTACGGAACCATTTTGAATTGTTACTCTACCACAGCAATTAGATGCCCAGTTATAAAGGAGGAAATTGCTGTCCTCGTAATGCAGCTTCATGGTCCTAAACTTAGGTCCTGGCTCCACGCATTCGATGAAAGGAATTTAATAGCCACAGTCTCCAAACATCATGTCAGCAAGATAGATTTTTTTTTTTTTAAAGAATGCTCATTTTAAATCTGAAGAGTAGCAATGTGACGGTTAGGTGATGATACTCCTCAAATACATAACAGGAGCCTCCTAATGGCAGCAAGCTGCTTACAGTAGCCCAGATGAAAGTAGACTGGTGTCCCTTTCATCTAGCCAGCTTGCTGTCCTTGATCAAACACTCCGTTCACTGCCCGTCATGTTGTTAGTGGTTAAAACTTACCATTTAAATTGTAAGCTGCGAAATCTAAACGGAACTGCATGTGTGATCTCTGTCACCTCATTTTCATGAATGGAAAAGAATATTCTGACACAAAAATTACATACTTAATTCTAGCTCACCCTCTTCGCTGACCTCCATCTCACACTGCCTTGGGTTTATTTCCTCACCCATCAGTGGGTCAAAGTAATTTCTGCCATGTTCATTTCCTGTGGAAAGCACACGAGGTAAGGGTCAGTGATTATTAGAAGCACATGAACCAAAATGTTAATTTTGAAATCGACACCGGCACAGACGGACCATTTTAGCTACTTTATAAGCTTAATTTTTTTTTACAAGTCTTCCAGGCCTCCCTTTTTTGTAATTATCATCTTGCAAAAGGTCAGAAAAGGTAATGCAAGAAACAAGTTCACACTATCTTTCGGTTGCTAAAAAGTTAATGAGAAAATTATCAAACGTAGACTTTAGAAGAATAATTTAAGGAGAAAAAAAAAAAACTTAAGTCAAACTATTTTTAGGATATACTCAAGAAATGTACGTAGTTGGATTGTAATGATTGGTAGAGTTCACCGAAGAGTCCATGTACCCACTAGTATTTACCTAGGTATTTTCTGTTGTGTCCAGAATTCCAGAGCCAACAATACCCACTAGTATTTACCTAGGTATTTTCTGTTGTGTCCAGAATTCCAGAGCCAACAATACCCACTAGTATTTACCTAGGTATTTTCTGTTGTGTCCAGAATTCCAGAGCCAACAATACCCACTAGTATTTACCTAGGTATTTTCTGTTGTGTCCAGAATTCCAGAGCCAACAAATCAGTATCTTTTATTGCAGCAAAATTTTCATGTTGACAGTGAGTGAAAAGAGAGAGAAGAAATAGAAAAGAAAGGAAAAGAAGAAAGGAGGAGGAAAAAAAGGGGAGAGAGATAGAAAAGGAAGGAAAGAAGAGAAGTAAGAAGGGAAAAGGCAGAGGGCAACTCACAGCACTTTCTGTCAACTGAAGTATAGAGCTAGAAGGACACATGATTTAGCCAGAAATTTTATTAAACCCACCCTCAAAAATACAACCCAAAATGCCTCACTTCTCATTCCCCATTTACTTCCTCTGTCCTTCCCTCTAAACTAAACAGTAGCATCAGATATGACTTTGTAGATCTGCTAATAGTTTTCCAAATCCAGTTTTCTGCTCCCTGTGAACTAAAACACATATGTCTGTTGCTAATAATTTGCGCTCTGCAAAATATAACCTACTCTGACAATATTATTTCAGGTTGCCTCGAACACCACAAAAGAAATGAAACATCGTAGAGTAAAAACAATCACTTAGAAAGTAGAGCTAACGGAGAAGGGTTAATTCATACCAAGTAGACTGTGATACTTCCCAATGATGTGTTTCCAGATCAAAACTAATCCAAACAGCAGCTTCATTTCTCAGGTTAAATGAAATTTTGATATGAACCTAGGTTTAATTTCTATTTCGGACTGGCACTTTTTTTGCTGTCAGTCTCTGTTCTATCAATGCAGTAAGTACACGAACTGAAAGCCTGCTTTACCTTGAGGTCTCAATAAAGAAAAAAATAAATGAGTTTCATTTTCATTACTTTATCTGTCAACAACTACGAGGCGGGTATGAATCTCAGCAGCATGTAATCAAAGTCTTACGTATTGCAATAGCATAGCCCTTCTGCCTTATTCTCTGTAATCGGTTGTTTCCTCTACTGCAAAGCATACTCTTCCATATGCTAGTGAAATAATTCACTTATATTAAAGCAAAGAAGGCAACATATTCCTTATGATATTGCCATAGTAACATCAGTCAACAACTGGTACCCATGTCCTGGACACTACCGTAGTACAAAACAAAACCCAAGCTCTTTGCCTATTGAAAGAACTCATTCATAAATAACATCAAAATAATCAAGACTCTGTAGAGTGAAACCAGGGAAGGTCATTTTTAACTAAAAATCTGGAAAAGCCTGTTTGTTATTTAGGTTTTTAAAACTATTTTTATCCCTGTGCCCACCTACAAATGTAGAAGGCCTTCCCAATGGGGAAACTTCCAAATGGTCCCCTCACTTCAAGGCTCCGTGTTTCCACAGTCAGCTGGGAAATGAGCTCCCTTAAGGTCTATGCTAATTTTCCCTTCTGCATTCAGTGTGGGTTAATGAACACAGGTAATCACAGAGTGTTTCCTTTTGTACTTTGCATTCTTAGATACAGCACGCATTGTGCAAGGAAAGAATTCTCAGATATCTTGAACAAAGAAGCAGTTCCTGACAGTCCCAGCATCGGTTTCCTTTAGACATCTCCAAATTCTATATTATAAGGAGTCTCCAAAAGTTTATGGACAATGCGGATCATTAAAAAAAAATTAAGGGAGCCAGCAGATGGATGGTGGTTAAAGTACTGGACTTCCTATAGCTGTTTGTGGTTCAAGTCCTGGACCTGGCTTTCTTGCTTTCTCACTTCCCTTTTAGCTCACTGGTCAAATTAAAAAATAATAGTAAAATAAATCATTTTTTTTTAAATTATGGATGGATTTCAAATTTATTTTGCACCAAAATTAACTTGTACTTTAATTCCATTTTTCACAAGCTTTTTAAAATCCTCTCATATATATATTTATAGAATTACTGTATTTGTATAATTTATATGCATCCCATATGTTATATTGCTATGTATTGTTTTACTTATATGATATCATGTTTGTTTACTGCCAAAAATATAACCTCCATGAGGGCAAAGGCATTATCTTTTTTCTCATTGTAGTACTTTAGGTGTCTAGAACAGTGAGTGCCTGGCACAAAAAAGCACTCAGACAGGATCTGAATTCATTAATTAAATAAATCTCTCTAGGAAACCTGTTGTAATACCTTTTCATTAGCTAGCTGTTCTCTCCTGATTAAATGAGCAACTAGTTAGCACCTTTTATTTCTTGCTTCCTCTGTATTTCCCCTCCTTTCTCCCCTTTTCTTTTCAATTGAGTACCTTCTGAGAACCAAAAACTATGTTTGGGTTAATACAACAATGAAAACAACCTGTAACACTCACCTTCAAGACCATAGCCCTCTGAGAGAACAAGGAAACTAAACATATACAACCTGGTATGATTTTATATTGCAGTAAAAGATAGTGTCCTGTTGAAGAGTATCTAACCCATACAGAAGACTCTCAGGACTTCCTGGAGGAATTCCTACCTGAAGTAAATTTTTGAAATGTGATTAGGAACTAGTCAAGTGAAAAACACAAGAGAAAGAAATATTTTTAAGTTTACTTCTTTCTTTCATAAGCAAGAGAAACAGAAAGAGACAGACAGAAGGCATCTCAGCAGGGTCTTCACACCACGATCCACCCCCAACCTCAGCCAGTCCTGGACCCTAGGCAAGCATGTGCCTAAGGGGCTCAGAAGTGTCTCCAGATGCAAATTCAGAAACCTCTCATGTGGGTCTGTCTCACAGAGTTACATCATCCTCCTACCCTCCAAGAAAAGGAAATTTTGACAGAAGGACATGCCTGAGCAAAGAAGAAAAGTCACCAAAGCATACAGACATGGGAAGCAGTTTAGGTTAGTACATGCTCCTCCACATAGTAAGTCACAGAATCGAAACCCCTTCACCGACTCTAGAATCAAGTTCAATGTATTTGCTCAAGTTCTTAGTAAGTTGTCCTCCAGTATCACTTTATGCCAACATGATGCTTCACAACATTGATTCAATTGACACATATTGAGGGCTTACTCTGTGACTATCTTAGCACAGAAAACACTTAACAATCCCTCCCTCACAGAGCTTACATTCTCTCTGCATTTTTTTTTTCTTATTAGAAGGTGAGAAATGATGCAGGAAAACAACAGAGTCACATAAAGATAATCAGATCCCCAAGAAGAGCTCTCTTCTCTCGTGTATCCCTTTGTTTCCGGCAAAGGATGTCATGCACGATTACACCACTACGCTCTCAAGACAATTGAGGTTGTGTGAACATAATGCACTTATTATTATGTATAACGTACTATGCTGCAAATTGCTTGCAATAACATCAATCAGTCTATGAATCAAATAATCAAACACTAAATGATTTTTTTCTTTTCTAGTGGTCTATCTTGCCCTGTAATTTAAAACCAATCATTTAAACACAGTAGGCAAAAGTTAGGTTAGAAAATACGTGGAACTATTGCACATTTGGAAATCATGGACTTCCTCTTCAAACTAGCTCCTTTTGCTCACGTTCCATTGGGTGGCGTCAGGATTTAATAAAGTGAGATGGTTTTGGCAGAGGTTGTATATTACCAGAAGGTTGATTGTTAATAGAATAAATTCCTGAAAGTGTCTAATCACACAGAGTATGCTTTTGGATATATCTAGAATCATCTCACAGGAAAATTAAGAGACCCACTGAGAAATTCAAAGTAGGGCATTTAGCAATACAAATACGCTAGGTTTTAATATGGCTGATATTTAACTCTTTATGACATTTGGATGGATCATAGCATAATCACATATGCACATACACACACACACACACACATAGTTGAAGTATGGATCTACATTGCAGCCATTCGATGTGATACATGAACTAATAAATCAATAAATTGATCTTGTTGATTCTCTTGATACTTTTGCTTCCAACTTACTGGGATTAGCTGTTCAACGTTCAGAATCAGCAACAATTAATGCATTTTTTTGTGCTTTTTTTAACTGTGGGGGGGGGGGAAACACATGCACTTGCCTTCTGCACATATCAAGTGTTGCTATCACTTAGCTCAGAGCAGCACAGAACACCATCAGGCCATTTACTTAAATCGCACCACACATGAACTTGGGTCAGGACACACAGTGGTGTGTCCCCATGCAGCTCCTTGGGTGCTATGAGTGAGAATGAAATCGGCCACCAGAGGAAGGTTAGTACAAATCATCCAAGTGTCTTGACTCAACATGGCAATCACCTCCTTTCCAATCAGCTACATTAGGGCCAGAGGAAGGAAATTGGACTGCATCTATCCGTTCCTGGGGAGGTCTTTATCGGCCCCATTCTAGTCCTTTTCCACTGAACCCACCTGCTCCAGCTCAGGTTTTTATTGCCAATGACCATGTTTTCTAGAAGATACTACAAATTAAATAAGCATAAGGCCTGTATATAAACTAAATAACTAACTCACATCTTATAGTCTATGATTACAGCCATGCACCAAAATGTTGCAAATTAGGATAC